AGCTATGCTAAGGCACATGGAGGACAGAGAGGTGATTCAGGACAGCCAGCATGGCTTTATCAAGGGCAAGTCCAGCCTGTCCAACCTAGTGACCCACTCTGATGGAGTGACTGCACCAGTGAACAAGGGAAGAACTATGGATGTTGTCCATCTGGACTTCTCTAAGGCCTTTGACACTGTCCTCCACAACACCCTTCTCTCTAAATTGGAGAGATATGGATTTGATAGGTTCAGTGGATGAGGAATTGGTTGTATGGTCACATCCAGAAGGTAGTGGTCAACAGCTCAATGTCTAGACGGAGATCAGAGACAAGAAGTGTCCCTCAGGCATCTGTATTGGGTCTACTACTGCCTAGTATCTTAATCAATGACATAGTGCAATTGAGTGCACTCTCAGCAGGCTTGCAGACTACAAGCTGGGTGGTGTGATTGACACACCTGAGGGATGGAACACCATCCAGAGGGACCTGGACAAGCTCAAGAAGTGGGCTTGTGTAAACTTCATGACGTTCAACAAAGCCAAGTGCAGAGTCCTGCACTTGGGTCAAAACAGTTCTTGGTATCAACACAGGCTGAGGGATGAAGGGATTGACAGCAGCTTTGTGGAGAAGGACTTCTGGGTACTGGTGGATGAGAAACTGAACATGAACCTGCCATCTGCACTCACAGCCCAGAAAGCCAACCATAGCCTAGGCTGCATCAGAAGAAGTGTGACCAGTAGGTCAAGGGAGGTGATTCTACCCCTCTACTTGCCCTAGTAAGACTCCATGTGGAGTCCTGTGCCCAGTTCTAGAGTCCTCAGCTCAGGAAAGAAGGAAAGACATGAACCTGTTGGAAAGGGTCCAGAAGAGGGCCACAAAAATGATCAGGGGGCTGGAGCACCTCTCCTATGAAGAAAGACTGAGAAAGTTGAAGTTGTTCTGCCTGCAGAAGGCTCCAGAAAGATGTTGCAGCCTTTCAGTACTTAAAGGTGGCTTATAAGAAAGATGCTGACAAACATTTTAGCAGGACCTGTTGCAATAGGACAAGTGTTTATGATTTTCAACTGAAAGAGGGTAGATTCAAGCTAGATATAAGGAATAATTATTTTTACAATGAGGGTGGTGAAACACTGGAACAGGTTGATCCAGGAGGTGGTAGATGCCTCACCCCTGGAAACATTCAAGACCAGGCTGGACTGGGCTTTGAGCAACCTGGTCTAGTGGGAGGTGTCCCTGCCCATGCAGGGAGTTGGACTAGATGACCTTTAAAGGTCCCTTCCAACCCAGATCATGCTATGATTTTATGCATAGATGTATGTCAAGAGTGCTGTAATGAAACTGGCTCAGTAAGGGAAACAGAAGTAACAGAAAAACATACCAAGCAATTGGAAGCAAAAGTCTGCCTGGTGTTGGCTGTGGTGACGCTTTTCAGCACACCATGGTGGGGTGAGGTGCTGGGCCACCACAGCAGGCACCAGCTTGGAGAGAGTCTGGGGGAGCCAAACTTGCTTCAACCTGGCAGAGAACTACAGTGGTGGGGTAGGCAGCCCAACCATGCCAAAAGGAGAGCAGGTTCAGAGCATCCCTTAACTGGTCTCATTTGTTTTCAGTGCTTTGGCAGGCAGGGTTGTTGGGAAGGGCTTAGGTCAATGGAAAAACAAAGCCAAAGTTGGAGGGAGGCTGGGCTGAGGTGAGAGGGAAGGAGCAGGGCATACGGGGGCTGGAGGCAAGGGCTGTGGGAGCAGGGCCTGGCAGGGGTGCTCCTGCTCCTGTGAGTGCTCAGGGCCCCTGTCAGTTTGATAGGAAAGCAAGGCAAGAAGGTGGGAGGGGGAGAGGGGAATTTGCAAAAGCTTTTCCAGAGTCTCTGATTAATCATTTGGCACCACAGGCAGTTTAAGCAATCTCTACGCCAGGCATAACTAAGGGGAAATGACAGGGCAGAGGAGACAAGCAGGGATGGGCAGGGACAGTTAAACCAGCTGCCATGGGAGGAACTGGCAGAACTACCACAGGATGACAGCAGTGCCACAGAAGTGCAAACTGCCAGTCACCAGTGGGTCAGAGACCTGGGGAGAGACACAGTCCTGGAGGGATAGCTATGAGGGAGGAGAAGGGGCAGATACAGAGAAGGGCTGGGAATGGGTGTGCTCTGTGGCTCAGTGCAGCACCAGACAGCCCAGCCAGCTTGTGAAGATGAAAGAGGTCTGAAACCAAGAAAAGCATCTTAGCTCTGCCCTGCAGAAAGGGTGAACTACCACCCCACACAGACAGCTGCCTCCCCTGCTCAGGCCACAGGATGTGGCAAACAGTGGGAAGGTGACCTGGAGACACTGAGATCTGCCATTTCCTCATGGTGAAACCTACTTCAGCACAACACAATGGGAGGCATCCTTTAAGGAGGGAACTGAAACCAGTTGGGGTCTTTTCCTCAGCAGTAATGAAAGTTAGGGGATTCTTCAGATAAAGGGGAATGCACATGGGGTTGCACACTGTGATGAGAAACATCCCAGCCTAACACAGCTCAGTCACAACTGGTCTTCCCTGCTGAGTCAGACTCAGCACTAGCAAAGCCTTCTGTAAACTCAGGCACTTTGATTTACAGACACCCTTGGGCTGGACAGGGACTGGCACACTTGTTGTGACCTGTCTGGCTGACAGGACAGCCGAGCAGCAGGGCAGTATTGCTTGACTGCACCTTACCAGCTCCTGCTACCATGCAGGAAACATCCAACCAACCCAAACCCAGTTACAGCACAGCCACACACACAGCTCCAAGGACCACTTCAGTTTCTTCACTGAAGATCTGCCATTTATCCAGGCTTGAAATAACAGACATGGAACTGATCATCTAGAAAAATCTAGCTGCTGGAATAAAGACTACTTGTAAGCAGGAAATTAAAATGCCATGTAGAGCTATTGTCATACCCCTGTCCAAGGTTTAGCAGGCCTGCATTTTATCACAGAACATCAGAAACTACCCCAGCTCCATTTAAGGAAAATGTATCTGCCTTAAGGTGTTTTCCAGGTTTATTGACATTCAGCATAGGGCTGTTTCAGTTTGATCACTGTAAGTGGTGAGCCATGATCAGGTATAATCAATCATTAACCGATCTCCAATCATATTCCCTATTTGGTAGTGTTTCCTAGCACACCCCGGATGAAAGTTCATAGCTCAAGTTGCTCCATGAACACTCCAGCACAGCAAGAGCTGTATCTCCACAGCCCGGGGCCATCACAACTGGGAGGCCTGAGCCCTTGCTGTTTGCCCCTGGACAGACTAGGGGGTGATCTGGTCAGGTGCAGCCTGAGCTCCCACCTTCCTGACCCTAAGGGAGAAGCTCCATTAAGTAAAGGTTTAAACCATTGTCACGGTAGGATGTAGAGCCTGCAGAGGGAGCCACGATGAAGCCACCAGGAACAACACAGCAAACTTGCAGTACTTCTCACTTGGGCTTGTCTTTTTAGTCTGCAGGTGAGAACAATACAAGCACACTAATATACAGTTTTGTATACATTTTGTCCTTGTGCTTGCTGGCAGACACATTCAGAAGACTAGCAGCAGTTTCTTTTCACAACAGCAATTAAAAAGGAAAATGTGCTACAAAGGCAGGAAAGATCAGGAGTTTGCCAGCAGAGGAGAACAGATAAGTGACATTGCTCAGCTCAGACCCTCATGCGGGGACAGAGCTGACTCAAGGCATTTTTGCTCCCCTGTTGCTTGTGCCTGCACCCTGTTAAGAGTTCTACTGGTCAAACATAAAACAACCAACCCACCCACCCACAATTACAGCATGGACACACAAAGCTGTGCTGGAACCTGTACAAAAAAAGTGTGATACAACAGCAGGAGGACAGCTGTCCTGAGCACAACCTCTGCTCCCGGGGACACCCACTCCTTGTGACACCCCTTGAAAGAGCAGCTCCATGACACAAACAATGAGGCTAATCCATTTGCCCTGCTGAAAAAAAGAAAAAAAAAGAAAAAGCAACTCTGCCAAGGTCAGTGCATCCAGAACATTCTTATCATGGTGAGAAGTGATCCCATCTCAGAAACATCAGACACTATAGCCAGCGTTTTGTGTTCCACCCACCTCTTCAACCTTCAGGCCCCCCCTGGTTTCAGCAGAACACCCTTCCCACAACCACACACTCCTGTGCACTCAAGAGTTACATGTGTACCTCGATTACACCATGGACAACCACATTAGGGTGTCAATGCTCTGGCAGGGAATATAGGTTGTATATGGACTATGTGTAAAGTCCCTCCTTGAAAACAGCTCTTCATAAGCACTTGCCCTGCTTGAGATCTCACTAGCATTCAAATACAGACTCCCACTTCAATGAGAAAAGTTAGTGTTTGCCTTTTATTCAGAAGACTTGTTCTGTTTCCAGCGATACTTTTCCATGTCCTTCAAACCAAAGAGCCCCTAGTTTCATAACAGCACCATCAGTCTACCACAAAAAAAGCAAAATCAAAACAAAAAAGTTCCATGTGATATAGCATAAAGAAACAAATACAGCTAATGCATTAAGAGAAATAAACATTGACATAAAGTTGTGTATGTTGCTATAAAACTGGTAGTATGTAATTAAAAGATTGGAAGGATTACCAGGTCTGCTAGATGTTTAAAGCTAGTCTGCTTAGGCTGTATCTCTATAGCCATGCTGGTTTTAAGCATGACTTTGCACTCAACTCAGGACCTAGCTACCTCAATTATCCACACTATAGGTAGTGGCCTTTCACACAACCTTCCCTACAGTCAGCAGTGTGCAAGCAGGCGTCTCAAGCTACCTGTCCAGACTCAAGTAGGGCTTGCAAAGCTGTAAAGGTGTAGCCTATTGCTGTCTCTTCCCTATGAATGCAGCATTAAAGGGTTCATCTGCATGTCTCGTTAAGAAACAAAACGGTCAGTTGTGTACTATGACACCTTAAGTAACATGGAATCTTAGATTTTAGAAAGAACATTTTGTCAGTTCACAAGTAAAAACTATCACTATTACAAAATGTCTTTTAATACTAGAAAATCTAGCTTGGAAAGAATTTTGTTCTTATTGCTATTGCATGTAGTTTCCAGCAGCTGTGTCAGCATGAAGGATTGTTTCCCACTTGTCATAGACAGCTTGTAAAGGCACTCACAGGAAATACACTTTCCTATTTAATCCGTACACAAATTGCATGTTTAGGCTGCCCTGACTATTTTCAGACATGTGCATAATTGACACCTGACACTATGTTTCAAAGTCTCAAACTTAAACTGTTTCATATAACAAATGCCATGTGCAGCCCTTAAACAACATTCACTCCAAAAAGAGTGAACACCAGCACTGACATGTCCTTAGCTACTTGAAAACCCTATAACTGTGTTCTGACAGCTATCAGATATTAACTCATTCATTTCATTTTGTTTGGTCTCTTCCTTATTCTCATGGTTGGGATGGTGTTTTGGATTCCCAGCTCTTTTAGATCTTCTGAGGAAAAATTTTGTCAGTAAGTAACACAATTCAGCCACATTTAAAAGGATGCAAATGCTGGACACAGCAATCATGAAAATAGTGAACACTGTCTTTTCAGTAGGTCGAGAAACAAAGCAGTCCACCGTGTTGGGGCAGGGCCAAGCACTACACTTCATCAAGCGAGGCATTCGGAACCCGTCGTACATGAAATAAAACGCGTACATGAAGACTGCTTCAAAGATCAGCCTGAAGAAGATGCTGCTGGTGTACGTCCACCACAGGGAGCCCTCAATACGAAACCTCTGCCTTCTGATTTCTTCGATGTCCTTGTATTCGCACTTCTGGTCTCCCTTCCTGAACTGCCTTTTCTTCTCGTGCCTCCTGTAAGCTACATGCATGGCCACCAGCAGCGCCGGCGTGGAGACAAAGATCAGCTGCAGGGCCCAGAGTCTGATGTGGGAGATGGGGAAAAAGTGATCATAGCAAACATTCTTGCAACCAGGTTGCAGAGTGTTGCAGATGAAGTCATCTTGCTCATCTCCCCAGACTCTCTCTGCAGCCACCACCAGGATCATGACGCGGAAGATGAACAGGACTGTGAGCCATATCTTCCCAATGCTGGTGGAGTGCTTATTTACACCTCCTAAAATGGTATGCAGGGCTCCCCAATCCATTGTCCTGTTTTAGTTGTCTGACCTAAAACAAGATAAACAAACAAAACTAAGATTAATAGAGACAGGAACAAATACCATCAAACGTGGTATAAAATAAAGGCAGTATCATAATTGCAGCATATCCATGGGCTGTGGTAACATTTTGCTGATGCAGTGGCTTACTTACAAGAAGTCATAAATAATAATCTCATCATATATCAGCATGTAATGTTTCATTACTTGATCACACAAATGGTATCACTTTCATTTGATTTCTGGGTGTATTTGCCAATTTAAAACAGCTATTAGGCACATTAAGTAAGAAAAGAAGACAGGGGAAATTGATTAAAACAATTTAAATTAAAAGCTACAACTTCTTATAGTTCAATAGCAGTAACAAAAGAATAGAGAATGACATCAGCCAAAAGTAAGGTAGGTGTTGCATTAGAAAAATAAATGTTAAGACAGAATTCCTATATGAAGTAAGCCAAGTTGGCCCATCCTTAGCTTTAGAGTATAAGCAACATTTTCATAAGTACATTCCAGCAACAAAGATGGACTTTGCAGAACTGCTGCTGATGCTCTGCACTTTCCCTGAGCAGGTCTGGATAACCTACATTCACGAATTTTAAAAGTATGACTGTAGGGTTCTGTGTTTTTAGTTGAAACAAATTCCACAATAGCTTGAGGTGATTAAGGTGAAGTCTTGGTCATTACCCATCTCATGCTGAACTGGGTGTTTAAAATCAGCACTTAAAGATTCATCCCAAAATCGCATTACTCTCCACTAACTACAAAGAGACAGCAGCATAACCAGACAGACTCCTTCATTGTCATTACCTATCAGGTTATTTTTCTTTCCCTTCTAACACAGACTGCATTACTCCTAGAATAGGGGAGACATTTCAGAGGCTGAGAGAGAGCTAAATCAACATTTGAAGAGTTCTGACAGGCCATCAGTAGCACAGAAACTTTTCAACAGAAGCTATAGTTTCCAGTAGGTAAGTTTCAAAGTACTATGACTGTAATGAATTAAAGGACCTTTGTCTCCCACATACCTCCCCAGGAGCACCACAAATGCCTGGGTTTGCTCAGCTTCCACAAACAACAGCCTTTCAGAGAGAGCATGTCAGCCCACCTCCCCCACTTCTCCAGTTCAGATGGTTTTACAGAAAGTTAGTTTGCAAGCTGCTCTGAATTCAAGAAACGAACATCCCTTGTGCCTGTCAGCCAGAACTCTCTAGAAGTGCTCACAGATCTCTGCTCTAAAACGCCTCAGAAACGTTTTTATTTATCAGCTTCATTAATTTGCTTACATCTTGGATACCATCTTTCTTCAGCACTTATAGCACAGGGCAGAAACAAAGTCACATTTTCAAGGTTTCTAGAGAAGAGGAGCCACTGGCACAAAGGCATCAGAATTGTAAACATCTTCCTAACTCTGAGTTTGATCACATAAAATAAGGAAGAAAATGAAGATATATCTTCGCAGTTGTCTTCCATGTCACACTATCATTCTGAGTCAAAAAGCTTTCTGCTTTACAGAAGAATTATATAAAACATGTAAGTTACATACAAAATTACACAGAGCATCAAAGCACACAACAGTTCAGGCAAAAATTACAACATTTAATTGTTATATGAATGCAAGGTTACTTTTTTCCTTGAGTTACTGAATGTAAGTGTAATCTCTATCCACTGGTTCCATAAACTACATTTCCCTCAGATCATGCTGGTTGACTGTCCGAGGTTATACTTCAAGAGGTGAAAACCAAGGCAGGCGAGTCCCAAGATATTCTTTGGATTGGAAAGAACCTTTCCTAAGCCTCCTTCAAGATGCAGATTCTGTGTGGGTTATTACATCTGTTTCTATCTGAAAAGAGTCCTGGAAGCAGTTACCTTTCTATCCTGCTAGGTTATTTTTCCAAGAAAAACATTTTTTTCATTACCATACAGATCTAAAGAAAGTCTCTGTAGGCTAACAACCCTCTGAGGGCACAGGAAAGACCCTTAATACCAGAGATACAAAACATACTAGCCAGATTTTCAAGTATTTGTTTCCACCCTTTTTTACCATCCATTTTTTAATAAACCAGCTTTTCTTTCAGGGAAAGATCTTTGGAGATCATTTTATGTTAAACGGAGGAACAGTTACAACTTTATTGGTGTTTTTATTGCCATTCTCTGATATTATTACACACACATTGCAATTACAATACTTATAAGATGACCCTACAACCAAGTATATTACTAGAATATTTAGGCACACCTGAATATAAACTGTAGTAGACTGGTCCCATGTAAACTACAGTACTACACTCATCATTCACCCACCCTTTAATTCCACCAGACTCCTTGCATTTCTTCTTGATCATTATTCCTCCTTCTCCCTGTCAGCCAGCTCCTTAGCGTGAAAGGCTGAGAACCTGTGTATCTACTCCTCTCAAGTCCCATTTTTGAATGCCTCACCTCTCACTGAACACCAATCCTGCTGCCTTTCTATTACCACAACTTCACACGGATTTGTTTCCACATGCAATCAACTCCTTCCTGTCTCCCTGTGAAGAAGGGGATTCAAAACATGAGGCCCCCAGGGTGTAGTTAGAGAGTACCTCACATTCAGTGGCAAAGTTAATTAAGATGCATCCTACCACTGTTTGCTCCTGAGGTCACACTGCAGTTCACTTCCTGCAGTTCTGGGGGGGTGCTCAAAAGTTATTCTCAGTACTAGTATGCTTTGTCGTTTTTAAACCAGATCCATTTCACCAATCTGCTTTACAGTACAGACCCAAGGTATCTGAAAAGCACAGCTTACTTTAAAAAACAGGCTGCAAATTGCAAAACTGGTAATAATGAGCAGTCAGTGGGGAAGAGGGGCTGACAAAGCTTCATTGCTGAGAACTATATACATCATGCAACTAAACTCTTCATCTGACTTGCTCCCTCTCCTTCTAGAGTGCTTGCTAAGCTAAAATTCTTCAATTCTAGCCAAAGCACATCTGTACCTGGATCAATGCAGAAAATGCCACGCTTTGGAGAAGCAGCCTTTTGCCTCAAATCTCCTAGTGACAGTTCTTCTCCCAGAAATAAGCCTTTGTCTTTCATATCTGCTCAACACCCCCCACCATCATTCCCACCTACCTTTCCAAACCCTCCAACTACCTCTTTAGCTCCTCCTGTCACCATCCCATATTCTTCCTGCTGCTTGCTGAGCTAGTCACCAACCTTTGCCCCTTCTCGCTGTACCCTCATATCCTCTCAGGCTTGATTTTTGCTGGTGAAAAGTCATATGACTTCTGAGACACTCCAGAGACTCACACAGGCACGGATCAGATACCAGCAAAGCCTCACTATCACCCTCCTGAAGGGTGGCACAGTTAAGATTGTAGGGCCATATTCAGGCAGCCTGAATTCCACCCAAATACTTTGGCCCCAGTGTTTCCTGCCTAGCTGGCTTTAAACAGCTCTCAATGCAATTTAGAGTATCTAATGATACTGAAGTGCTCACCCACCTACAGCAAAGACAGTGACCCAAGCAAAATTTAAGTTAACCAAGTATGGCTGTGCTAAGCCTTGAGTGTAGATGACTCCAGCTATACACCAAGTTTGGGTTATCTGTACTGATGTGATGGTTCATTTACTCCTAACTTACTCAAAAGCTAGGATGTTGACTCATGATGCCAGTTTATCTTTCTTCCAGATACTTGCTTTTAAGACCTTTTTACTAGCAAGTAAAATATTAACAGTCTTGCTGACCACAGGAGAAGAAAGCACAAAGCTCCTTCCTTTTAATGGGTGGCAACTTGTTATTTTCATCAAGCCAGTACAGACACTTTCTGTGAGGAAATCCAGCTTAAATGCCTACAGAAGTAACAGCACATAAACAGCCAAGGACTTACTTGCTTTGCTGGTCTGGTAATTACATCACAGTACATGAATAAGTTAAAGGCACTAAATCTTAAGTGAATTTTTTTGGGGGGGAAAAGTTAAATAGGAATGAGGATAGGGACTGGTTATAAAGGAAGCTGGAAAGAACAAAAGACAGCTGAAGTCAGTGAGACTGAGTAACTGAACTGAGCCTTTAGAATCCACCCTTAACATGGGAGTGTATTATCTTTAAGCGTTACATTTTCCTTAAAAAAAAAATCCAACTAGGCATGAAAACAA